ACCTAAAATAAAATAAAAGAATTATAGGTAAATAGATAAAAAAAATCAAACACTAATAAAAAAAACACTATATATACTAATTAAATCATGTAACGATAACGTTATTTTCTTCAATTCACTATGAAAAAGACTCCAAAGAATTCGTAGATATAACCTGTAAAAGCAAGGGAGAGTGTTGACGAGCCCACAAACCCCATTGCTGTGTATTATTCATATAGTTCCTTTTAATATAATTTTTTATAGCTGGCACAGAGCAACAACTAATAGTGTCCTGAACAAAGTTTTCACAGCCAACCTTCATTCGTTTGTGCATTGCCGCGATCATGATGTCACAGATTTCTTTTTCATATATTCGTTGCATCCATGTTCTCATAACATGAACAATACAAAAAATAATTTGGCATTCTTGCTCACTGGCAGTTATACCAGGAAAAGTTTTTTAATACTTTTGGCCTCAATGCTGCTCTGATCCAAAAGCATATAACGGGGAGACCAATGACAGCACTTCTTATGAACTATCAACAGTGCTTCAGCAACTGTGTCACTATCTTCACTACTCACAAAAAAGTGAGCCCCTATATTTTAGCAACCATAAGTATCACGAATATAAAGCGTAAACAGATGCCAGTCGTACCGATTGGTCTTGTGAGTTGAGTCAATTAATGTCAACCACCCATGTTTTTCAAGTTTTTTTAATTGATACGGATGCACAAACACAATACCCTTAGTAAACCATTGAAAAACAGAATATTTTTCAACAAGATAACCTTTTTCTATCAAATAAGATATAGATTCTGATATATCTAACTTTAAATTTGAATTTCCAATAAGGTGAGCTTCTATTGGCCCATGAACTTTGTATTTAATGTTCGTTACTTCTTTGCGTGTCAGCTCACATACACTCGAACCGAGGCCTAATTTATTTGCTGCGTATTCTTTAACTGCTAATGTGATTGCAGGAGGAGGATAGTTTTTGACTGCTTCATTTTTAACTAAATCTCGTATAACTTTTGATCTCTTTATTCTATCGCTCTCTGATAAAGAGTGCACGTGGTCGGGAGAGTTATTATATCGTTTAATCTGGACTATATTTGAAGCAACTAACCAAGAAACTTCAATTTTTGCATAACACAAGCCAGATGGCTGTGTCTTTGTTACTCTACGTTTTTCATTTGGAATATTTTCTTTTTCTCGGGAACTTGATTCATGATGCTTAGTAAAGCGGCAGGTAAAAACCTTTCGAATATCGCTGTTTACTTGTTTGTAAAAACCCCATTGTGTCCAAATATTAGAGACTACTGGCCACCAGTTGTCATTAAAGTCTTCACTTTGTATTTTCAAAAGACCATTTATATCAAAAAGATAATTGCGTTTTTCATCCGGTGTGAGCGATGTTGACGTTAAAACCAAAGGAGCGATGGCACAAGGCGTGGGCGTGGGCGTGGTGATAAACATAGCACTAGAGAGAGCTGCAGACGCAGCATCTAAAGAGACAAAAGACGCGACACCCGAGGGAGCAGAAGGCGCAACACTAGAAGAAGTAGCTAACATGACGCCCAAAGAAGAAGCAAACATAACCGAAAGATAAAATTTATGTAAGTTTTTTTTTTTTTTGTTTTTTTCTGTTCCCTTTTTTCTCCTTGTAAGTTTCTTAGTACACCAATAAAAAAAGTGAATATTAATACTATTAAACATTATAAAAAGCAAAAACTAGAAATAAAATTTCACATATGAAGTTTGTAGACCTCCAAAGTTATATTATTTACAAAACCCGGTAAATTATGTAGAAAAACAATCTAAACTACAGTATTTAGTGATTAAAAAGAAAAAAAAAAAATTTTAAAAAAAAAAAAAAAAAAAAAATCAAAGTTGGGTCACCGGAACTGGTCCAAATGTCAACTTATTAGTTTATTACAAGAAAAGAAAAAAAAACCTACGATAAAAACAAAAAAAAAAAACGCTTATAAATATTTCATTATAAAAAAAAAAAAAAAGAAAAATCGTACCTTATACAAAGATCAAAAAAATTTTTTTTTACAATAATAAATCAAATGTGTAATGATGCAACGATGACATCTTAAGCCTAGTATTACCCTTAGCCAATCATAATTTTTGCAATAATTGGCCAATCACAGTTATAGTATATGTCACGTGATTTATCTCCGCTTTAGACATTCCCCTAATTTGGCTAACTGTTTACTCCTTATGTATTTGTTTGTTTGTTGTTGTATTGTTGATCTGCAAAAAAAAGTGCAAGTCAAATCCTCCAAAATTTTTTAAAATTTTCTAAAAATTTGTTGAAAGTTTAAAATTTTTAAAGTATTGTAAGGGGAAGAAATTTAGAAGCTAAACTGTTTTAATAGACTATATCTAATTTTTCCTGACTAGTCTTTTTCTTTATAAGTGTTTTGGGTATTTTATTAGTAAACTTTTGTTCCAGTGCTTGAAATTCTTTAGCTCTACTTTTGGTCAGAGTGATCGTTGAGAAAAGTTAATTGAGTTATATATTAGCTGAATAATAGTTTAGTTTTATAAACTAATTAAATCAAATTTGACTAATTTAATTAATTTAACTAGTTTAATTAAGTTAAATTAGTTAAATTAATCAAATTAGTTTATTTATTAAAATTCTATATAACTAAATCTTTAATTTATACAATATTATTAAATAAAAAAATCTTTAATTTTGATTGGCTAGTCATTTAACCAATTTAACTAGACCAATTTGACTAATAAAATTTTAATTCCAATAAAATTTTAATTAACTAGTAATTTGACCAACCCTAATTATAATATATATTGATATAAAGTTTTAATTTTAGTTTTTGTAAGGTTTTTTGGAGTTTTGACCATTTTTACTTAGTATATTTTTGAGAAATAGAAACCTATGATGCTAAACACTATAGATACATTTTAGTAAACCCAAACTATAATATACTACTTTGTTCTTATATACTTGATATTTACAAAATAACAAACAAACAAACAAATAGTTTACAAAGTAACTTCAATATACTGTAATATTTTAGATAAGTTTTGATCACTCTGATAAATTTAAATTTTAGATAAACTAATCTAAGCTCTTATTTTTGCATCTAGTTTATATTTATTTATCTATATATAATTTAATTTTTATACTATAATTATTTATATAAATTATCTAATAAAAATATAAACATATTTTAAATAAACTTGTTTAGTGTAAAATATATATATATATATATAATTATAGTTTTAAAACTAGTAATTTCTTTTTTTTTTTTTATAAAATTCAATTAATAAAATATACAAGTTTTAAATACCGTGATACAAGATCCCCTAGATAGTAGACCCACTATATACTGTATCCGGGAGCAAATCTCAGGACCTTCTTTAATTAAATGTGATTCCTTTTAAAAATCTAGATTAACGCAAAGTGTATATGCATTTCATTTTGCATTATATAATATAGACCCTCAGCTGTGTACTATACCCGGGGTCTATTAAAAGGTTTTACTGTAAAACTGGTGAAATGTAACAGACCCGGGCCTTGTATCCGGCTATTTACGGTAATCTACTATTTTTAACTCTAAAATTTAAATATAAGTTAATATGTAGATCGAGAATAATGCGAAGTTTATTATAGTTTTTTATTATAATTCATTACTTTAGAAAACATTTTTTTTGACTGTTAATTGGTCCATGGACTGGTGTTTGGAACAACACTGGGTCGATCATGTGAGAGCGACAAATTAGTGACATCGCTAGGTGTAGGGATTGGAACCACCTAAAATTTTCTTAACCGTTTAATCGTTTAACCGTTTAACCGTATTAACCGTTCAGTTTAGCCGGTATTATAATCGTCCTGGCCTATGATCAATGTAATTCGGCCCGGCACTATAAAAAATTTTTTTATATGGTTAACGCTAGATGCGGTGAATGAATATACTCAAAAATATAAATATATATATTTTTAAAAGCGCTTATTTTAATACTAATTTTACTCTAACTTCTAACCTTTAATCTAACCTCTAACCTTTAATCTCTAATTCTAACTCTAATTTAGCATTAATTTAAAATCTTTGTTATATAAATTGTTTTGATATTTTGCTACACAAATCTATAATTTATAATTTGTACGTTATACATGTAATTTATAACATATTACAATATATTGTATTGTATTGGCGATTTTTTGCGGTTAAATACTTTTTATTGGCCGTTGGCCAACCAACTACGTAGAAAATGGCCAATGGCTAATAGCAAAATTTCGGCCAAAAGTTTATAAACCAATATAACATTAGCCAATCATATTACTAGCTTTTATTATATAAATATTTGGCCATTTCGGCAAAATAATTTTTTGGCCAAGTGACAACACTGCATTACAGGATTACAGAGTGCTATATATTTATTCTAATTCTAATAAAATCATGAAATAATGTGATATTCTGATTATATAATTTATTTATTATAAGACAATTAGAAATATACTGTATACTAAAACTTTGTTAAACAAATTAGTCTACAATATATGAGCTGCCAATAAGGCAGATTGACATATAAAAAAAATGATACCTTAATTTTCACAGCTCATGTCTCGATGAATTTTGAAGCTTTCTTGATGATTTAATAGTCAAATGAAAGCTTAACTGTTAAGATCTACTGTAAGCTTTCTTTGAATGCCAAATTATCAAAATAGCTTCAAAATCCATTGAGCTACGAGCTGTGAAAATTATTTTGTTCTATTGGCGGGCAGCCCATGTGTTTGACAATACTATTGTAAATTTATACTGTAAAAAAAAAAATAAATAAAAATTTTCGTTGTCTACGTACGTACATACGTACGTGCGTGCTAAAGGCCATTGTAGATCTATGTTCTTTGTCAATTCGCACATGTGATTAACAACCAATTATAACGTATAAGTAAATATATGAGAGTTCTGGTTATTGATCATTAACATTTTTAAATTTAAATAAAAAACTCTCGTAAAGAGACGAGTGTATTACAACTAATTAAGCTTCAGGTAATCAATACGTATGTAAAAAATAAATATACGTACACTATATACGTATTTATTAAACTTTGGCATATTGCATTAAATTTATATAATTATATTTATGTTTTTACAACAAAAAGTACATACGACATGCAGTGTTAGATGCCGATTTGCATAATGTATCACATGGCTGAAGTTAAGGTGGAATATCGTTTAGGCCAATTAAATAACGATAGCCAAATATGCATTTGACACGAAATTAATAAGGACAATTTTAAACTATTTTCAGCCCCTAAAGCTATGCCACTAAATGCCATACTGAGTTTTCTCAATTAGAATGTAACATTCCACCCGATAAGTGTTACTATACGATATTCATGGTGCGCAGATCACGCGGATTATTCAATAGTGAAAAATTTTAATGAACTTTGAATTTGGAATGATTTGCGTTTTAGCTAATTATTGTAAGACATTAATTTTCACCAATAATCCTCCGACATAAAAAAAAATATTTTTAGCCGATTTATATCCTAAGATGAATATTTAAAAATTAAAATGTTTTAAAAATTAAAAATTCCAAAACGATAAAATATCACAATTCAAAAAAAGCATGTGAGATGGCTGATGTGAAACGAATTTGTATCACCTGCAGCTCAGTCATTTGATTCTTACAAAAATGATAGGTAACGACAATAAAATAAAATAACGTATTGTAAAGTTTTTTTTTTTGTTATTATAAATACTTTCGATATAATCACATAATTTTTTCCGTGGAAATTTCAGACACTTATGCGATCTAGTAATCGGATTTTTTTTCATCGGAAAAATTTAACGATTATACTTCCGAGCTTTAATAGCCTTATACAAAAACATTAATTTCAATGAATCAAGAAAGCACATTCATGCAGGCGTAAAGTAGGATAAATATGGATACATAGAAAATTTTTATTATTCGATGATATTTTATTTTACAAAAAAAAAAAAAATTTTTTTATTATATAAATATTATATAATTATTATAAAATTAAATTGTGATAATAAAATATCAATGAAAATGTGAGCCATGAAGTCCGAAGATGTCCGAACACCCGAATTTGAGGCGCAGCAACCGCTTTGATGATATAAAAACTAAGTTTTGTGATCACATATCACAAATAAATGAGAAACGTAGAATGGAGGGAAATTAAAAATTCATTATACTAACCGCACTGTACAAAAACTATGCAAAAACTATCAAAACTATACAAATATTTACCCACATTTTTTTATGTTTAGAAAGAAGT